AATTACAGAGATGAGTTTTATTTTATGACATAGGTAAACCTTTTACTAAAACTGTACATTATTATTTATTATACAGTAGTCATATTTCATAGCAAAGTTGCTCAAGAAAATGACCTGGTAAGACATCATTTATAGGCACATGGTTGAGGATAAGTGCAATGGATCACAGAATAAGCTAGATGTCACTCATGACATTCTTCCTTATTTTAAATTAAAATAGACTAACTCGTTGTTGCGCGGAAAGATACTTTAGTATTACTCCTAAAGGTACAGAAAATCTTGATGCGCACATTCCCGTGCAAAATTAAAATAACATTATGTCGCCTCTATTCATATTCATACTAATCACATGAGTGGTGCTATAACAACATTATCTACTATGCCGCCCCGTCAACGCCGGACACGACCCCAGCCTACTCGCTACTGGGCCGTCGACGAGAGCCTACATCTCCTTCCTCCGCACCTGGAGGTTGAGCACGCAATCGTCCGGGAGGGGCCAGGGCGCGTGGGGGTGCGCCAGGCTGAGGCCCAGGGCGTGCGCGTGTCCGTGCGCCTGCACGGCCTGCAGCAGGTGCGCGGGGGGCGGCAGCGGCGCGGGGGGCCCCGCCGGCGCGCAGGGTGGTCCCTGCTCCTCCCGCTGCTGAGCCTGCGGAGTCTGCGGAGCCTCGGTTGCGTTCTTACTCGAGTGATTCTCGTTGTTGTTGTTGTTATTGTTGTTGTTCTTGCCGCACAACGCGAGGGCGCTGGAAAGAGAGCAAAGTGCGAGCAAGCGCCACGGTTACTGCCTAGTTCACTTCCCTTCACCGCACCTTCATTGGGCTACTGGCACGGTGGCTTTGGAGTGCCTTACACAGGGTGACCCGTGGACTCAATGCATGTTTGGGTGATCTCGATCTAGTCCACCAGCGGCCAGCGGCCCCGACACACACGACACGACATGACAGAGAGAAGGGTCCGTGGGCCGCCCCGTGCGCTGGGGTCTGGGTGGAGTGGAGGCTGCCTTACCTGTACGGCCCTCGGAACGGCAGTGGCGACTGATGCTGAGGGAGTGGCTGCTGCTGTTGCTGCTGTTGCTGCTGTTGCTGCTGTTGCTGCGGGGATGGCTGCGGGGGCTGCGGCCGGTGGGGGCTGGCCGGAGGGCTGGCGGGCGCGGGGCTGGTCGGGCTGGCCGGGTCGCTGGCCGTGCTGCTAGCGGGGCTGCGGCTGCCGGGCCCCGCCGCCGTGCCGACCTCTGACACATCAAGCGCCTTGAGCCCCAGCGGCGCCGTCTGCTCGCCTCCGGCACCTGCCAGGAGAAACTAGGCGGTGAGACGACCGGGAAGTCGACAAGTTATGCATCTGCCGCCGGCTGGCGGGCAGGGTACTGACCGTGCATCTGCAGGCCGAGGGGCGACGGGCCGCCCAGTGCCAGGCAGCGCATCCTCCAGGCGTCCTGCACCAGCTGCAGCCGCGCCTGTTTGCGCCACTTGGCGCGCCGGTTCTGGAACCACACCTGGGGAGCGGCGACGGCATCAGACACTGCGGGGGAGCGACGCCTTACAGAGGGGTGGTGGTGGCGACTCGACTCACCTGGACGCGCGCCTCGCTCAGGCCGATGCGCACCGCGGCCTGCTCCCGCAGGAACACGTCCGGGTAGTGCGTCTTGAGGAACAGCGACTCGAGCTCCTTGAGCTGCTGGGGCGAGAACGTGGTCCGGTTGCGGCGCTGCAACAGCGAGGTTAACAAGGCGCGCGGTCAGCGTGTGAGGAGGAGGGTGCCCGGAGGGGGCCCGGGCCCCTGCGCGGGCGAGGGCGGGCCGGCCCGGCGGACAGGCGTGTGGCCGTGCGGCCTACCCTCCAGGCGCGCGGCCGGAGAGCGCGCCACCGGGACGCTGCTGCGGGGCGCGAGCAATGTGTGCCCGCTCCCCATCACAGCGTCCTCGTGCACGTCCCCGCGCGGGCGGGCCGGTGGAGAGCACACGGGGAGAGTCGCTGACCTGTCTCCTGCGGCCGAACATGTACTCCGAGAGCAGGTCCTGCGGCAGCGGCGAGAGGAAGGGGCCCGCCATATCCGGGGCGGCGTGTATCTGTCCCTCCAGCGTGCTCGTGCTCGGCGTGCTCGTGCTCGGCGGCGGCGCTGCGTGGCTGCGCGGCGGCGGCTCCAGCGAGAGTGTGCGGCCGCGCACAGCATCCCCGGTCCAGGCTGCCTCGCCACCCCCGACCAGCCCACAGGCCAGGCCCCGCCCCCGGGGGCGGCGCGGCCAATAGTGGCGCCAGCCCGGCGCGGTGCGGCCCGGCGGCCCGTGGTGGGGCGGGGCCTGGGCGCCGCCTTGCGGGTTGCTGGCGCTCTTTTGCGCCTTCCATCTTCATATCCAGTTGAAGTGTGAGAGAGAAACAGATAGAAGAGCCCCCTACCGCCACCCCTTCCTCTTCAGGATGCGTAGGTACCTGCATCGGGCCCCGGCTGAGAAAAGGCGGGTGGGGAAGGGTTGGAGTAGGCCCTCGCCGAGCGCGTGCGTGTTATCAGTTCACGGCAGGCAAACAGTCATAATGTCTTTATTTTATCTTGATCGCTTCCCGTACAAAAACGATTCGACTGCTCCACTTGCGGCTTCTCGTTTGGCATCACCACGAACGAGAAATAAGCGGGCGATTTTTCAAACTGATTCCGTTTCTATGTTTTTGTGCTTAGAAGCTAAGATTTGGCATGGCCATGACTCAATCATTCATCTGGAGGCTCGGGAAGTGAGAAAACAGTTGGGCACCCCTAACGAGCACTGTAAGTGCTCGAAAATTCAAGATTTGCCATGAATAGATTCAACACTGATAAACTAAGTGTTCAACTGCTCAACACTTGTAAGTGTGCAACTGCAAGGTGAATACTTGCAAGTGTGCAACTCCGTCGTCGTACACTTGTAAGTGTTAAACTGGGTAGGTGTGCACTTGCAAGTGTGCAACTCCTCAGTTGA